ACAACAAAATTCAAATAGGCCAGGAGGGAACAAAGATGAAGAGAATAAACTGAGTGATGAATAAATAAGTAGGTTAGGTGGTGCAGCACAGGCACAACCAGGAAGAGGAACTGGTCTAAATGACAGGATTAGTATAACATTAAATTGAAAGTATATTGTTAATTTAATAGTAAACTGTAAGTTTGATATATTCATTATGTTACTATAGTCAATATAATTTCATATAATAGTATAACTTACCACTAGTATAATATTAATTCAAATTACAGCTGCTTCAGTTTGGGGTTGCTTTTTATTCATTAACTTAGTGCAAGAAAAATGCTCCAGGCTACATGATAGTCTCCAGCCTTGATTTAGGGCTACGAACTCGTCTAGAATCAGAACTGTTTATGCAGAACTATGAGTTCAACATTTATAAAGTTTGTTGCAGCACATCAAGCTTGTTTTTTTTAATCCCGCTCCATCCAGGCTGTGTTTTGTTCACAAAAAGTGACACTGACGAGAGCGTCAGCTTTATGAAAAGTTGAATTTGTTTCAATAAAAAGCAGAGCTTTAGCTAAATAGCCAGCTAACTACTACTTCTTATCGCCACTCCGACTATGTTTTGGACGAGTAACATTGCGAGTCCGGCAGGGTGGGAGATTGCGGTTGGTTGTACTCGTAAATCATTTTCCGGTTTTCATGGATCTGTTTTTTGGAGCGTTTAAGAGTGAAATAGGCGCTCGGTAGATCCCTGCGCCTAACGTTACAGAAACGAATCACACAGTCGCTACTCACTGCCTGTCTTTTGGCTATGCATTATAAATAAATACGTTCACCTACACTTTTAGCAAACAGGATTTTCACATTGAAAAAAATATCTTCAACATTTAATACCTTGTTAAGTGGCGATTAAGACTTTTTAATACTTTTTAATGGCCTTAATTTTTTGCAAAATTGATTCATCACCTTTTAAGACTTTTTAAGACCCCGCGGACACCCTGAAAGACCTTTGAAGATTAGACAAATTAACCAGCTGATGTTTGTTATTACTCTGATGTAGGCTATACGCCGTACATAGCGATAGACAGGCCTCATTATTTGGTACCACTATCCATGAGAAAAATGTACATATGAATATCAGATTTGATTGGAATAGCCTTTAATCAAAAACTACATGCTTGACTACTACAAATAGCATGTTTTGGCTGGGAGTATAAGAGAGACACAACTAAAGTTTGTTCCAAATTTAATAACTGATACAGTCATCAAGTCATCAACAAACATAAAATTGCAACAGTCTGGAAGGTCATTAAAGCATTTCCAGGTGACGGAGCAGCACATGAGCTGGCAGCACTGACGTCTGTGTCCGCCTGAGGGTAGGAGGAACATAACTTTATGGGGACTAAAATAAATACCTTTGGGGGGTAGAATAAAGACACTTATTTAGACCCTGGTCCCTGCAATAGAAACACTGAATTCATCAAAAGGTTCCTAGTTCTGGGATATAGATACTGTGGTGGAATAAGCGGCTGATTACAACAAAGAGGGAAGGAGGACTCGAGGAAGGACTGATGAGTCCCTGATTTCCTTGTTAACTTCACTCATTTTGATACCAGGAATATCATTTATTTTATGAGATTGATTCATTTGTTTATATAATGACTTTGATGCTCTAGATTTATTTTGACACCGCAATACTGAACAAAGTTATCGCACATTTTTCTCATATCGTGCAGCCCACGAAGACAAAAAAAGACTTTGAATGACTATGTGGCATGAATTATTGTTAGATGTGTCACAGTTCTGAACTGACTTCCTCAGTTTTCTATAAATTTTTTACCACAAACTGAACAACTGAAGGGTTTCACACTTGAGTGTCTTTTTATGTGCCTCATGGCAGCTTTTCTCAGTGGAAAATATTTTTTACAAACTGAGAAAAGTATTGTCTTTTGTATGCACTTCTAAGTGTCTGGTCAAATATGATTGTTGTTTGAATCTTTTTCCACAGACAGAACAACTGAATAGTTTCTTTAATGTGAGAATTCCTATGAAATTTCCTCTCACTTGAAAGTCTTTTTTTGCAAACTGAGACACTGAATGGTTTCTCTGCTGTTCGGGGACCACTGTATTCCTGCAGATGTCCTTTGTGGCCAGAGCTTGCAGCACATTCAGAGGAGCAACTTGATGTTTTTCCAGTATTACATTCCTGATCACTTACAGGTACTTTATTGTTTCGCAGAGGGTTTGAACCTGACTGAGGTTTCCTGGTCTCCTCCCAATCACAACTGTCATCTGCCTCAGGTTCAGAGGAGTCTGACGTCTTGTCATCAGTCTCAGGTTGAAAATGTCCATCTGGATCTGAGTTCCTGGCTGGTTCTGGTCCTCCACAGTCCTCTCCATCAGCTTTTGTTTCCATCTGTTCAGTCGGTCTTTGATGAAGCTGTGAGGACTGAGGTTTCTCTTCATCGTCTTCTTCACTCTTCACAGCGACAGGAGTGAATGTGAACTTGGTGATATCAGCCTCCTCCAGCCCTCGAAGCTGCTCTCCCTCCTGACTGGTCCAGAGTTCCTCCTGTTCCTCTTTAATGTGTGGGGGGCTCTGGTGGGTCCTCCTGGTCCAGCCTGAGGCTCCACTCCTGCTGCTCAGGGGGAACCTCTTCTTTACTCACCAACAGCAGTTGGACTTCTGCAGAGAATAATGAAATACAAACACTTTTTAGAAAATTGTAACTTCCTGTTAACCTTTAAACCACTAACACCACTGCTTTCTTAAATGTGTGGATTATTATGCACATTTAGAACAATGTATTTGGAATCCATTCAAACTAGGGATGTTCCGATATATAATATATATATTATAATATTAACGATCCAGTCGGGGCCAATCAAGACATTTGTTAACTGATCGGGATTGGCTTTATTGATTGACTGATTTATGTATTGACTTTTTGAAGGATAGACACATTTACAGAGGCACTTTGACCAATGTGAATGTAAGCGGTGTTGGATTACACTGTAGCCCTTAAATAAAGGCTCTCGTCTGCTGACTGTTTTTTTTTTTTTTTATTTCTCCCCAAGGATTGACCCAAAATGTGTCAATCAAACCTTGAAATGCCTCAAATACCTGCCCCCCACAGACATATAAGCCAATCAGACTTGTGAAAAAACAGTCAGTGTTTCCTTTAACGTTAATGTTAAAAAGCCAGTGCAGACAGGCTTGAGGAAAATTTCTCCTTTTGTTGCTTCCTGGCTGGAGTAACCTTACTCTAGCATTCTCCTCTTGTAATTCAGCTTAATTGACATTTTAAAATTTCATTAAACTGTGAGAATTTACTATTACCGCGTTCAAACAATGTGAGCAGCAAAGTGTCCTAAAAGGACCTTAAGAAGTGAATGTATAATTTGGCAAAACAAATGTTCTTTCCTCTTTTCTCAGTATAAAAGAGCGTTACCTCCCGCGAGGTGGATGCAATTCATGGCAGGCATGCAGAATTCGGCACAACACCTGCACTGCAAAACGTCACTAAACCTCGTGAGAGCAAGGTCTTATTGTTCTAAGCTCAAAGTAAACTCAAGCAGTCTACTGGAGGTAGATTGTGTCTGACTTGACGGCGCTGTTTATATTTCCCTATCTATCAAGTCGGCGAAAATCAGCCAGTAGGTCTATCTCGCACCTATTTACTACCAGTTATACAGCCTGCCAACTTTGTTAACTGTTTTCCAAAGTTAACATAGATCCTTATTAGCTAGCCTCCTTACATGCTCGCTAATAACTGTTTTGAAGATGGGTCTTCGACACTGACAGCGTTGTGTTGGACAGATTTGTGCAGCTGTGTTTATGATACCAACCATTCAATTCAAAGACGGGTCTGTTGTCCATGTTTGCGTGAGAGAGAGACAAGTGAGAGGATGTGCGGAGCGAATATGCGCAGCACTGCAATCAGAAATGATTTTAAAATGGGTCACAAAATTTACTTGGACGGCTGTTAATCTACCTGGGCGGCCTGCCCAAGTAAAGCCTACAGTATGTGTTGGAAACACTGCTTTATATGTTGTATTAAGTCATAGTGAAATGTCATATTGAGATCCTCTGACTTTTCTGAATGTGATGTTATTTCCTGTTCAGACAGGATGTGGTGGTGTAAATGAATAAAAGTACATGTGAATTAATGTCTGATTCAAGGATGTTTTATTTACTTTGAGTGTGACTTTGTGGTTCAAGACCATTTTAACTGCAACCCCACGTGGTCTCTGATTGACAGGAGTCAACTGACATGATTTGCTGGCAAGTTGCACAGAATCCTGCTGTAGATAAAGCAGGGCTGATCTGTTGTTGTTTCAATGATGATTTAACATAAATCAACGATTGAATTTAGGCTCAACTTACATCGCTTTTATGACCATTTTTATCTATTTTCTACTTTATTTTATTCTATTTCAGGGTGCAAACCTGATTAACAATCAACTAACTGCAACACTGATTCAATGATAGTTTCGTTGATGCAACGTTGATTCAGTGTTGGTCTGCTATCTGGGAATGTAGATCAAAATAATCGTGATCATCACTTTGGCCATAATCATGCATCCCTAACGTGTGTGTGCGCATGCTGCAGTCAAAGCCCTTTCTGACGCAGCAGTGCCAATAAAAATGGGCGATACAAGAGAAGCTGGTAAAGCACATTAACAAATTTCATAGACTTTCTAAAAAAGGTTTTGGGGGATGGGGGGGCCTGAGCCCCAGTAAAGCTTAATTTCTATGTCCCTGGTGGGTATACAGACGTTTCTTTGGAGACAAGCATAACACAGATTTGTCTGTCTGTATCTAATAATACATACTTTTACTGAAGGAAGGTTTGAATGCAGGACTTTTACTCGCAGTGGAGTATTTTCACAGAGTGGTAATTAGTACTTTTACTGCAGTAAAGGCAGTTTACAGTGAGAATAAGCAGTAAAGTGCACAAACCTGCTTCAGGCTTGAAAACAGCGTCCAGTAGTTTGCGTTGTCCACAAAGTTCCTCCTCGTTCTCCACTTTAGACATTTTTACTGATTCACAGCAGCTTTTCCTCCAGACTGTTTCCAGCTAGCAAGCTAAGCTAACTGCATTAGCTTCGTAGGACAGCGGGAGATAATTCAGATGTTAAACATGTTCAGATAAAGGGAACAGCACAGAGTCTATTCAGACAGCTCTATCTGGACATTTGGACATTTGGGCTCCGTGAAAAATACAGTTTGGTCTCTATGGAAGCTGCTCCGACTGTGAGGCCGAGCTCCGGCTCCGGCTACTTCCTGCTAACAAGCTAACTTCCTTTAGCATTCTCGGCTAACAGGAGATGAGTCTGAGGTGAAACATCCCGAAAGTTTAAACAGAGTCCACTTAAACACGTTGATCCTCACATGCAGGCTCTGCTTGGAAGTTTAGCCACCGGAAATACTCGTTGGTGTTTGTTTTTCTGTGCGGACTACAAAGCAACGTTAAAGGTGCGTGCTGCCACCTGCTGGACCGGAGTGTAACATCAGCCCTTGTTATTGCCCCTCTCTTCCCAGATCTACGCTTTCAGCAATGGGGATGGGGGCACAAACACCACACAGACAGACACCACAGAGAAACGCCTGCAAGAGAACCGGGATGGGGGATTAGGGCGGAGATAAAACAAACATAACAAAAACAAAGACGCAACCAGCTGAACACCAGCAATAAATAGTTGACATAAGAAAACAAGAGAGGGAGAATGAAAATGAAAAACGGTCAAGCAAATAAATAAACAACACAGCACAGCCAATGATAGCTGGAATAATAAAAAAATCAAATAAATAACTTAATGAAAAGCATAAAGAACCAACCAGAGGCCATGCCCCCTAGTGCAGGCAGACCCCCCCCCAAGCCCCATGAACCCGAGGCCAGTCCAGAGCCCCCGGTCTGCCACCCCCAACAACCCCCCCATGAAAACAAGGGCCATGTGCACTCAGGACAGCTGCACGCCCCCATTGTGAGAGAGCCAGCAGGGGGAAGCAGCTGGAGCCCATCCCTGTCGAAGAGGGCCCTGGCAGGGAGAGGAGACAATGGATCCCAGGCTCAGGGACACGCTACCCGCCCCAGACATGAGCAAAATCCAAAGCCAAAGCCCAGAGGCCCCCGCCTCCCAAGGCAAGAGGACGCCAGGTCCCTCTAGCCCAAGGCTTGTAGCATGTGCCTCTTGAGCACCGCCAGCACCCCAGAGCCAACAACAACCTGCCCGCCCTAGAGTAGGTTCAGGGGGGCCCAGCCCCCCAGCGCAGGGAGTCATGAAAGGCACCCCAGATGGCGGATGGCAGATGTTTATTTTTACACTGTAAATGGCGGATTGCAAATGTCTATGTGAAAATTTAGAAAGATTGATCTAATTTCTCTGCTTTGGATACTTTCATACAAACCTACTAAATTGTTTTATTCATGAATTTTCTGAGCCTTTTTGCAATCTATCATTGATGTATGTGTCAGAGGAAGTTATTGCCTTTCAACTAATTGTTTATGACTGACAGCATTCAAAAACTGTCAGTCTGATTTTAGAGCTCTTCACGGTACTGATAAAGCCTTATTTAAGTTTCCATGCTAGAAATAAATGTCAAAACCCATGCTGCTAAACTTGAGTACAGCAGACCACTCCATCCCTCTACTTGAAAGTTGGGGTTGCAACCTTAGAAAAAGGTAGAACCTTTTTTGTTGTCGTCCCATTTCACTCATGGCGTTCCTCAAAAGTCAATCCATTACTGTTCTCCCATTGTGTGCTGCCATTAGGTCAGGTCATTTCTGAACATAATGCACAGTACTATTGTGACAATCCACTAATCCGAACAGCCTAAACCAACTTTCCTCCTAGAGATCTGATCTTGTTTGCAACACGCAATTCCTTCATTCTACAATATTGGAGCCCTATCACATAACATTAAGCCAAATGCAAGAAATGTCTGTTTACTTCGTTCTGGCCTTTGTTTTAAATACCAAAGGTTGTTCCGTCATGCTTCCTTTAACTTGAGTTAACATTACATTTACTCATTTGGCAGACGCTTTTATCCAAAGCGACTGACATTTGAGGAACAACATACAAGCACCAACAGAGTATCAACTACAGATCTACAACTGATACTACATTAGTAAGAGCAGCAATAAATACTAGTAAGAACTATTAGCACATATCACATCAATGGGGAAAGAAGTAAGAGTTAACAAAAACGTGCAGTCAATACAAGGGAACTGTAAGGGGATAGAAGAAGAAGAGCACAGGAAGAGTATGTTAGAGGTTAGGAGTTAAAGGTGGAAGAGATGAGTTTTCAAGAGCTTATTGAAGTTAATCTCCAAAATTAGATCCTTCTCATCAATTCATGACTTACACAGAGATGTCCATGCTTTAATTTCTCCTTCCTATATATCTGTAATGGCCTCTACAAGGTTTTATTAAGGCTTCTCTCTTTCACCTTCAATTGGTTCAAAATGCTGCTGCTAGGATTATTACCGGTTCAAGGAAACAAGATCTTATAACTCCAATTAAGGCCTCCCTCCATTGGCTTCCTGTTAATCTCTGCATTGATTTTTAAAATGTTATTGTTGAACTTCAAGGCTTTATATGACCAAGTTCCTAATTACATCAAAGATCCACTAACCCCTTCTCAGTCTGCACGCCCTCTGAGCATCCACTGCTGTTGGCATTCTGGTTGTTCCCAGAGCACGATTGGTGACTAAGACCTATCAGCCCCAGAACTCCAAAATAACTTATTTACCTGCTGAGATTAGGTTTACAAAATCTTTATTATGTCTTAGGTTACACTACATTTTGCAAGTGTTTTACTTGTTTTCGTGCATGATTATTTAAAGTTCGATCATTTAGAAACAATGCTACATATGCTCTATAAATTACTTATTGATCCACAACTATTCTTGTTTCCCCTTACACATTTTTGTTAGTGTCTTCTAATTGTTAACAAACGTTATTAATCCACAGAAACTAAATTATTAACAAACATGTCTTGACTGAAGAAGAAGAAAAAAAAAAGAGAAGAAAGAAGAAAAACAACTCTTGGGAGGTTTGTTGCAGCAACAAAACAACTGCAATTAATATACATACAAGTACTGGGACTAAGACACCCAGTTGAAGTATGATTACAGTAACCAACAACTCTCAAGTACTGTACAAAAAGTCAAACTTTGTCAACATCTGTTTATCTAAAAAGATACATTTCTCTGTTTGTTCATATCACTTTTTCAGTCCTCTATATGATCCTTGATGAAGTTTTCTAGTGGACTAAAAAAAGTAATAGATTTTATTATTCTATTACCAAAAAGTTAAAAGTCCCATCTGCAATTTATATAATAAGATATCGGTACTTGGCGTCTGTGTATCGATACAGTATTGCCATGGCAAATATCACGATACTATGCTGTATCGATTCCCCCCCCCCACGCCTACTGAAAAGGTGAAGCACGACTTATTTTGGACTCTGTGCCACAGTTTTGAACTGATCAGTATCGAGTCTTGCCCTCAGTACTTCAATCCTGCTGGAAGGAATCGACTCAACAAGCATCTCTGCAGCTTCATTTACTTCCACTGTTCTTGCCATCACACTTGTGCTTTTTCACATAATCGAGCCGAATGAATCTTTTATTACAAATGCTGCAACAAAATGGTTTCTCCCCCGTGTGGATTCTCATGTGTCTGGACAAATTGCGTCTGGAACGAAAACTTGATTTACAAACTGAGCATGTAAAAGGTTTTCCTCCTGTATGAACCCTTAAATGTGAGGTCAAATCTGAGCTTTTTGCCAATGTTTCACCTATACAACTAAAGGGTGTCCCCCCTGAATGGACGGTCAAGTGCTGTCTCAGTTGAAACTTATGTGCAAATCTTCTACCACAGACAAAACAACTAAATGATTTCTCGCCTGTGTGAATTCTCATGTGTCTCTTCAGACCCGAGTTGTGGCGGAATACTTTACTACACTTAGAGCAGCTAAATGATTTACCAACAGTGTTACATCCACTGTTAATTTTCAGAGGGTTTACTCCTGATCGAGTTTCCATGGTCCCCTGCCATTCACAAATCTCATCGGTCTGAGGTTCAGAGGAGCATGATGTCCTGACATGAGTAGCTGGTTGTAAATATCTATGTGGATCCGAGTTGCTGGCTGGTTCTGGTCCTCCACAGTCCTCTCCATCAGCTTCTGTTTTCATTTGTTCAGTGAGTCTTTGATGAAGCTGCGAGGACTGAGGTCTCTCTTCATTGTCTTCTTCACTCTTCATAAGGACTGGAGTGAATGTGAACTCCTCCTCCAACCCTAGAAGCTGCTCTCCCTCCGGACTGGTCCAGAGTTCCTCCTGTTCCTCTTTAATGTGTGGGGGTTCTGGTGGGTCATCCTGGTCCAGACTGGGGCTCCAATCGCTTTTAATGTGTGGGGGCTCTGGTGGGTCCTCCTGGTCCAGGCTGGGGCTGTTTGGGGGTTCTTGCGGGTCCTCCTGGTCCAGGCCGGGGCACCACCCCTGCTGCTCAGGGGGAACATCGTCCTTTTTCAACAATAACAACTGGACTTCTGTAGAAAATAATGAAATACATGCATGTTTTAGAATTCTGTAATTTCCTGTTTTTGAGATTTAGAGCCGTATTTTAACCATCTAAGTGCACAGCCTAAAGCATGTGGCGCAGTTGTGTTTGGGGTGGGTCCAACTCCAAAATTACTAGTTTAACGGTGGAAAAAATAGTCAAGTACCAGGCGCATGGTTCAAAAGGTTTGTACTTAGTTGGTGAATTAGTCATGAGTGTGTTCTGGGTGTAACACGCAATAAACCCATCAGAGTGTCATCCCCCATTCCCTTCAAAAGCCAGTTGTGCTTGTACCTTGGTGCATTGCCATTTTAATAGTGGATGATCGCCGCAATATTTAAACAATCAATTGACTGATTGAATTGTAGACTCACAGTCGAGAGGGGATGTGTACTTGATATAAAAACTGTCTCTGATCATGAAACCTAATGTTCCCCTGTAGCTCTTTGGTTTATCAGTGAAGTGTCTGTTAACAGACAGAAGCTGTCTTCTCTATGAAACGACTATCCAGACCCTCACTGTGGGTCACATATATGTAGTTTCTTTATTTTGTGTTTTATTGCTGTTTGAGTGTTTTCTTATTTCATTTTAAATGTTTCCATGTGTGGAATAAAGTCACAGCAAATATTGTGGGCCATTTAAGCAGCAAAAAAAAAATAAGATAATGTAGTTATAAAGTTGACATGACCGGACAGCGGAAACTCTCCAGAGTAAACAGACTTCAACATTTAACTTCTGAAATAATTCAGACGCTCTGATGGAGCTCAGGATTGATCAGGAGGACGGTGCTTTACTCCAAACTGTTTGACTGTATGAACCTGGACTGTGTGTGAGAGCTTTTAGATGTGTAGCAGGACACAGAACATGAATTAACATTAGATCCTGATAATCCTGTCAGCGTGACGGGAGATTTTAATAATCAAGGACGTTGCGCTGCTGTGCCTCGTGCATAAATGCACACAGCATCTCTTAAGCGCATCTTCGGAGGTAATGCACCCTAAAATAAACAGTGAAATACTGCTCCGTTGACTTTAGCCCCTTTTTTGGTGGTGGTGGGGGATTTGCAATCGCTTTCTATTGCCTCAAGATAGCAATGCGCCAACAATTTGCCTGACCACACCTCATTTTAAGATGCCACGGCACCTGCTGCTGTTAGTTTGTTGTTGTAAAAAAAAAAGTGTTGTGAGCCATGCTGTTTGTTGGTATGTTAAAAAAACACATCAGTAGCAAGAGGGACTTTTGTAGTTCACTGGTATAGCCTACCTTTTTAAATGGTTGGTGCCCCATCACATTTTTACATATAAAAACGTTTCTTACTTGCAGTGCAGTATTTTCACACAGTGGTATTAGTACTTTTACTGCAGTAAAGGATATGAATCTTTCCCGTTACGGCAGAAAATTGTTTATGCTTTTATGCATGTTCTTTTACTATTATTATTACTTCTTAAAATTATTATGTTGTTATGTCTTATCTTATGTGTTGTGTTTTCTATCCTTAACCTTTCCTTCTTCTGTCCACTAGGGTTTAGGTCAGAGCTGTGAGATTGTGTAGTGTTCTCCTTTCTTGCTGTTTTGCTGGACGGGAGAGGATCTCTGTTCCCCAAAACATAGAAACTCAGGCCGAATCCCAATGTCCCCCCAAAAAGCCCTGAACCCTCACAGACTTTACTGACGTTACTTGGAAAGGGAATGAGTTTAAGAGGCTGCGAGGGCTCAAAATGCTGTAAACAGGACAGCACTTTGACACTTTATCCCTTTACCTTGACAACGCTGAGACACTTTGCACTTTATTTTATGCTTTTGCCTGATTTTTCAGTCCCGCAGGCTCTCGCCCTGCAGAGTGGAGGAGAGGGAAATGTCCATATTTGTCAATAATCCTTAACTATTGTTGGTCAGCATCATTAAGAAAAAACTAAAATGAATAGTTGAATAAAGGAAGTGTGTAATAAGGTGACTGCTTTCCTCTGACTTCACGTGATCTATGCAGCATCTTAAGTTTAGAAAACCTTCACAGTATTAACATCAGCGTTGGTGTCGATGCTTGTTTGTTTCCAGCTTTTCTTCTTCTCTTATAACGCGGATTTCTCGCTTCCCCTGTTAACCCAAGTGTTTCACGTGATACCGCTATGAAATGTGGGCAGTTCCCTCAGCCAACGTCTGCAGAAATGCGGACTTACGAAATTTTATAGACCCCTATAAAGGGCTCAAAATGTCCTCGCGCACTTGCCGGGAACGCGCCTCCAAGTCTGAGCCTGGACATTGGGCCCTAGACGAAGACTCCCAGCAGTTTCCAGCGAGAATAAGCAGTAAAGTGCACAAACCTGCTCTGTGTAACCGGACTTCAGGCTTGAAAACAGCGTCCAGTAGTTTGCGTTGTCCACAAAGTTCCTCCTCGTACTCTGCTATCGTTCTTTCAAACAGCTCAAATATCTCTTCAGCAGCCGCACTTAGTCGCTGCTGGACAAAAGCTCTCAGCGTTTGGACTTTAGACATGTTTACAGCAGCTTTTCCTCCAGACACACTCCGTTACAGACACGCAGCTCACTCTGACGCGCGCTGTGGTGAAAACTCACGTTTACGTCAAACAAAGACAACAGACTCTCTGTCGGACAACCAGCCCGGTTACATTTAGTGGTAACACACGCGGTAGCCAACGGAAGTATGCTTGCTTCCGGTATTACTACTTTCCTGATTTTCAAACTAAAAGTGACCAAACTTTTATTTTAAATATCTCTGTTCAAAATTAAAAATGGGTAAAAAAATAAAAAGAGATTTTCCAGAAGTAAACACAAAAATACCACAATATAAAGTAAAAGTAAACAGTTCAAAAGCATAACACATGAATACAGACAAATCTATGTATAATTCTGATACTGTATAATATTCCAGTGTCCACTGCTTTATCTTCATTTTAGAATTGACATCTTTTGTTTTAACTGTCACGTATGAAGAATGTCTGTAAAGTCCTAACACTGACACATATATATATAGACACACTGACATATGTTGCCGTAAGCTCGCCTGTCTGCTTTTCAATAAGTGTTTGTGGATCTTTCATCGGAGGCTCAGCAGTGTCAGAACAGCTAAATGTATTAGACTATGCAGTAAAACACCTCTTTTAAGACACTTCTGTTAGAACTAAAACATACTTCTCAATAAATACTGAATTAAAACCAACTTTCTGAAAATGATCTACTTGACATTCCTCTCATAACTCATTATTTTATTGATACTTTAGCTGTGACTGTTAACATGTTATCAAATGAGGCATTTCGTATGTGTGTGTTTAGGAGGGTTAGCGTGAAAACGAGAAGTTTTAAATGCATGAAAAACTTTACACAGTATTCGATCAACACAAACTTTCCCCCTTTCTGTAAACACGCACATTTTAAACAGAATCCATCTCAAAGAGGTAGTTTGTTTATGTTTTATTTAAAACAAAATGCTAAGTGCTGAAATAATGCCTTGTGAACCATAAACATCATATTGTACATGTTCTTTCCATGACTTTATAAAGCCTGACAGCAGTAGAAACTGTGGGAGCTTCCCATCGGCCCCCTCTACCTTCCGTTAGTTAGTTAGCATGCAAAGACTGTGTGTCAGTGTGAAGCATAACATTTTTTAACAAGAACTACGGTCACATAACTTTAACAATGATCACAACTACATAACCTCAATGAAAAACACATACATTTACAAAAAACACACATTCCAGGACTTTTCCAGGTAACGCTGCAGTTCAGCTCTACAATGCTCAGGGCTCTCATTTATAAAACTGTGTGTAGATTTCTCACTAAAAGTGCCAAAAAAATGGCATCACATCCACACGCTGGCGCTCAGTGTTTGGCTCGATAAGGCAACGAACATGTGAGAACAATATGTGAAACTCTGCTCTCATATTTGCTCGACTGACACGTTGGAAACGGCATCAGTTTAAATGTAATTTTTCCTCCTGCTCACCTTATTTATGAGAATAAACTGCACTGCATGCAAGAATTAATCTGATTCCTGATTAAACTGTCCAACATATTTGAGGCATTCTTTTGCAGAAACAGAATCTCTGTTTATCATCCTGAATCTGGATCTTTTTGTGGCTGCAAATTATCTTAAATTGTGTGTTTTTTACACACTTCAGGGAAAGTCAATCAAACGGGTGTTTGTTTATTCAGAAAGGCTTTAAGCCAGTAATACTCAGAGGTAATATTTCAATTTCTTTTACACAATAGTAGGCTTATTCTTTTCAAACCGTTTCATCCTTCTGCCATGTGAGGCGCCGTTTCTCTTCTCTCCTCTTTATGTGCAGGGTTCAGAGTTTACTTACAGGACGCACATTCTCCTGTAAAGTTTGTTTTTTTATAGATCACAACCTTTGCTTGGGAAGCGGCGTCCGCACTTTTGCAGCCCTGTTTTGTACGTACGCACCGTTTATAAATGAGACCCCTGGTCTGTAGGGGAAGAAGTGTTGCTTTGGCTGCTAGTTGTTAGCTGGTAGGTCCGTTGTGAATCCAGCCAGGTGGGGAAGAAGCGGCCATTGTGTCGTGACTGTAAGATTAGTGTTTGCTTGTCTGGTTCGTACAGGCCACGCTGGGAGTTCGCTGGCGAGTCGGGCCGGTGACCAGAGTACGAGTGGAGCAGAGGAGCAGGGGAAGAGGAGAGTTAGAGAGTAAAGTCGCACAGCGTCTTTTATCAATAACGTAACGGCGGAAGTCCGGGGTAACTGACAGATCCTAGCCGAGGTTGAGTTTGTGGGCTGAATACCTGCGAAATAGTTCAATGACTCACATGATAACTGTGAGGCCCCTGTGATCCCAACACTGGTCGTTCCAGGGCTCTGCAGAAGGGCCAGGCTGTGGTTCGTCCGGTCCCTGCATCGGCTGGTCGATCAAAGAAACATCCGGTCTCTGTGCTGGCTGGTTATTCTGTGATTCGCCCACAGCCCCAATTACAATGTGGAGGTCGAGCTCTTGGTGAACCCTGTCATCCCTATCTTGTAGCTCAGTTGAACAGTGTGGCTCACGTCCTTTGAAATCAATAAGAGGGGATGAAGGGAAGCGCATCTGTGCTTCCTCTTCGTCTGACGACGGCTCCAGTGTTACTTTTTTGGTACGAAGATACAGTCTCAGAATTTTTGCTTGGCTTACTTCGTATAAGCATTCTACAGTGCTCCACCTGTTGACATGGACCTGGGACGACTTCATTTTAGTTGAATAATCTGAGAGCTTTGTCCTTTTTTTTGAAAAACCATTTGGGAAAAACAGGCGTTCAGCTAGTTCTTTGATTTCCACCGCTGTTTTATCCTTGTCGATGGTCAGGTGTCTCGTCCCCCCCCCATTTACTGCTTTCACTAGTTTGTACCGTTTCAGTTTTTCATCGTAATCCATCCATCCAAGCTGAACCCGTCTCTCTTTTTTTTTTGCATTTGTATTTCCTGCTAATGCCTTGTTTTTTACAGGTACTCCAGACGGCCATCTCTGCCCCAGCCTTTTAAGTACAGCGTCTTTCCTGCATGCGTCAAGTGATGCACTGCTTGCCGGCAGAAGGCCACAGCAGCGTTTCTATCTCCAGCTTTAGAGAGGTGCTTTGCCAGGTCTTCATCTTTCATTACAGATGCATCAATCTGGAAAAACAAAACATTGAGAGCATGATTAGATTGGCCTATACATAGGAAAATGATTAATCATCCTTAAACACCATTAAGCTACATGTGTTTGAATTCACTTTCAACTGGAGATATTCTTCTATTTCAACATCTTACTGACTTCCTATTCATTTAAAAATTTTGAACATTAAAATCTGCTTTTTGGCTTTTAGCTTAATTTTAGGTCATTAAAATCATATTAATTAAATGTACTATTAGTATTTCATTATTACTCAGTGATATTCCACTGCATCCAGTAACAGTCAATGGCCAAAAACTAGTGTTGACCCCATCAGTTAACCCCAGCTGCTATTGCTGTGACCCATCAGATTGTTTTCACAGCGCAGTATCGCAACACTACCACATGAACAGCTGTGCTTTTTCTAGTCATTTCTAATTTTACCAGACCTTACTGATGCTAATTACCTGTAAATGGTTACCATTTAATGCTCATGCTAATCGCTGATGACTCCAGCACAAAAAAATACCCATGATGCAGTTAACTCACTTATACAGTGCTTACACTGCACTCTCACCTCTGTAAACCCGTCACAGTATATTATTGTATACAATGTTTGGTTCGTTTTGCTATTCCTAGTTCCTTGCCATGAACTGGGAAATACTGCGAGAGCGATGCACCCTGATCCAAGATAAGCGCAGAACGCTCTTGTTGTACTGAGGTCATATTTAGACCCAGAGGTGGCTCTGATGTCTCTCAAACAGACCTGGGCAACTTCGAACATTATCTTAAGTCTGTTGTAACAAACCCAGGAGTTAAAATGGAGAATCAGATCAATTCTGTTGTGAAAGCTGTTTTTGTTTCAACTTAGTCTTCTTACTAAGCTAAAGCCCTTTTCATCCCTCACAGACTTTGAGAAGGTTATATTTATATATCACAACATGCCTTGACTATTGTAATGCTCTGTATGTAGGTGTTAGCCAGGCCTCCCTCTCTCGTCTACAACTGGTCCAAATGCTGCCGCTCGTCTCCTCTCTGGAACTCGTAAGTGAGATCACATCACCCCTGTTCTTGCCTCCCTTCACTGGCCCCCAGTTAATTTTAGGATTGATTTTTAGATTGTATTATTTGTTTTTAAAGCCCTCCAAGGACTAGCTACAGCCTATATCGCTGATCTATTGAAGCCACATGCTCCTTCAAGGTCAATAAGGTCTGCGAACCAGTCTCTTCTTGTTGTCCCTAAAACACGGCTCAAGAGCAGGGGGGGTCGAGCTTTCTCAGTCGCAGCCCCTGTGGAATGAATTGCCTCCTCACGTCAGACTGGCCCCCGGCCTTCTGATTTTTAAATTGTGACTTAAAACAAATTTTTACTGCTTGGCTTTTAACCCGGGATGAGAGCTGTATGTTGCTGTTCTGTTGGTGTTGTATTTGTCTATGTACTGATTCATGTCAATGTACAGCACTTTGGTCAACCTGATTGTTTTTAAATGTGCTTTAGAAATAAAGTTAGACTGGATATTAACAACTTAACGTTGGATGTATTTAATTAATGCAATTAAAGCAACAAATTAATTACCAATTTTGCCTTGCTCGCTAATAATCTCCTTTATTAACCGATGCTTGAAGCAGGCGCTGTGCACTTTTATATACACTTATCTCGTGGCCACAAGTAAATTAAAACGTGGGAACAAATTGTATCTCGTGAGCACGCAATAGCATATATATAATATACATATTTTTTCTATGTGTGATCCTTCTGGGGTTCCGTACTTACTTTATTGTTTTGCAGAGGGTTTAAAGCAGACTGATGTTCCCAATCACAACTGTCTTCAGTGTCCGGTTCAGATGATGGTGACGTCTTATCATCAATAGCTTGATGTGAATGTCTCTCTGGATATGGGTTCCAGGCTGGTTCTGGTCCTCCACAGTCCTTCCGACGGGTCCGGAGTTCCTCCTGTTTCTCTTTAATGTGTGGGGGCTCTGATGGGTCCTCCTGGCTCCACTCCTCTTTAATCTGTGGGGGCTTTGGTGGGTCCTCCTGGTCCAGACTGGAGCTCCATTGCTGCTGCTCAGGGGAAACCTCTTCTTTACGCACAAACAGCCGCTGGACGTCTGTTGAGACTAATGAAATACAAATACATGTTTTAGAAAACAAATTTCCTGGTAACATTTAAACCACGGACACCACTACATTCTTAAATGTGGAGAGAAATGATGCACATTTTGTTAAATATATTTGAAAGTCAAACTAAATCAAATGAAGCATATCATGTGCTTCATTTCTTCAGAGCAGAAACAAATCGACTGTGATCAACCTAGTCCACATTTGGAAAGTCTAGAAGAGCCTGCGATTATTAATTAACCCCCATTAAAGTTAGCGGGGGGGCTAAACTGGAAAATCTCCAACAGTAAGATGCCACATTAATGCAGCAGGAATATTAATCCAGAAACATCAGATATAACAGAGAAACTCTGACAGGAACATTTTACTGCACTGTGAGTACTTTTACTGCAGTAAAGGCAGTTTCCAGCGAGAATAAGCAGTAAAGTGCACAAACCTGCTCTGTGTAACCGGACTTCAGGCTTGAAAACAGCGTCCAGTAGTTTGCGTTGTCCACAAAGTTCCTCCTCGTACTCTGCTATCGTTCTTTCAAACAGCTCAAATATCTCTTCAGCAGCCGCACTTAGTCGCTGCTGGACAAAAGCTCTCAGCGTTTGGACTTTAGACATGTTTACAGCAGCTTTTCCTCCAGACACACTCCGTTACAGACACGCAGCTCACTCTGATAAAATACACACTGTGAGGCCGAGCTCCGGCTCCGGCTACTTCCTGCTGACAAGCTAACTTCCTTTAGCATTCTTGGCTAACAGGAGATGAGTCTGAGGTGAAACATCCCGAAAGTTTAAACAGAGTCCACTTAAACACGTTTATCCTCACATGCAGGCTCTGCTGCTGAACTCCGGCTGCATCTTACTGTGACAGAAAGGAAAATATTAGCATGTTAGCCACAGGAAGTTTTCCTCCTTCTTCATATGGATTTACGGCAGTTTAGACGCTTCCAGGTGTTTCACTGCCCTCCTCAGGAAGTCACTATAATGAAAACGTTATTGCACGTCCAGCATATCGTGCAAAAGTTCATTTATTTCAGTAATTCAACTTAAAAGGTGAAACTAATATATTATATAGACTCATTACATGCAAAGTGAGATATTTCAAGCCTTTATTTGATATAATTACAGCTTGTGAAAAACCCAAATTCAAAATCTCAGAAAATTATAATATTGTGAAAAGGTTCAGGGGCGATGTCAGCTGGGATTGGCTCCAGCCCCCCCACGACCCTGTAGGCAGGATGAGTGGTTGACGATGGATGGATGGAAAAGGTTCAGTATTGTAGGCTCAAATTGTCAAACTCTAATCAGCTAATTAATCCAAAAGACCTGCAAAGGGTTCCTGAGCCTTTAATTGGTCTCTCAGTCTGGTTCAGTGGAAGAAGACTGCTGACCTGACAGTTGTGCAGAAAACCATCATTGACACAAAGAGGGAAAGCCTCCAAAGGTAATTGCAAAAGAAGTTGGATGTTCTCAAACTGCTGTATCAAGGCACATTAATAGAAAGTTAAGTGGAAGAAAAAGGTGCACAAGCAGCAGGGATGACCGGAGCCTGGAGAGGACTGTCAGGAAAAGGCCGTTCAAATGTGTGGGGGAGCTTCACAAGGAGCGGACTGAGGCTGGAGTTTGTAATGGAAATTTGTCTTTTAGTTTGTCTTCTGAAATAAAGAGTCCAATCCAGATGTCTTTTAAGGGTTTTATTCTTTGCAAAGGGTCAGACAGACAGACAGAGTGCAAAACAGTCTGCAGAGTGTAAAACAAAGAGCCAGTGAAGAAGCAGGTGACTTTATACTGTAAGGGTATTACGCAGCTATCCAAGGGAGGAAGGGAGTCGGGACCAGCTGTCCTGAGATGAAGGCCTATCAAGGACAGTCTGATAAGAAAACTCTCTAATGAGCATCTTTCCCATGGAAAACTTCACCTAGCTGTAACATAATAAAATAATCAAACACCACACAGTGAAACACTGGTCTATTCTGATGAAGCATGCAGGGTGAAACAGTAAATACAGTAAAATATCAAATTTCCATCACAAGTTACTGCATCAAGAGCCAGCACACACAGACGGGTCCTGGACATGGGCCTCAAATGTCGTATTCCTCTTGTCAAAACCTGGTTCAATGACCATGAGATTACTGTGCTTGATTGGCCAGCAAACTCACCTGACCTGAACCCCACAGAGAATCTATGGGGCATTGCCAACAATGCAGAAGAGCTGAAGGCCGCTATTGAAGCATCCTGGTCTTCCATAACACCTCAGCAGTGCCACAGGCTGATGGCATCCATGCGACGCCGCATTGAGGCACTAATTCATGCAAAAGGGGCCCAAACCAAGTACTGAGTACACATGCATGATTATACTTTTCAGAGTGCTGACATTTTGAATTTGGGGTTTTCATAAGCTGCACGCAATAATCATCGAAATTACATCAAATAAAGGCTTGAAATATCTCACTTTGCATGCAATGAGTCTATATAATATATTAGTTTCACCTTTTAAGTTGAATTACTGAAATAAATGAACTTTTGCACGATATGCTAATTTTTCGAGTTTCACCTGTAAGTACTTGCATAAAAGATTATAGGTGTAAGAAGAAAACAATTTTCTGCCCTACAATATAATTTATCATTATATTAATAATAATAAGACTTCTGACACTTCCTACCCTACTTGGGCTGTAAGAGGGCTTTTTCTCTTCGTCTTGAAGAGGGTTGCATGAGGTTGTAGCTCCTACGGCTCACCAGCAGAGGCAGATAAAGTCCAACTCCGCCAAACAAGCTCTTCTTCTATGAGAGAATTTGAGGTAAAAATAAAATAATCATCTAGATGTTTAAATAGTTCCTATGACAAGCCATCTCTCTCAAGGGTAGTTTCTGCACCAGAATTAACAGCATTCCCTCAGTTCTTTCATGGAGAAAACTAGTTGTAGTCGACCTTTAATTAACTCTACTGAGGGAGCCATTTTTTCTCCTTGTTCTTGTTGCACATAGTTGCATCTCTCCGTTGGGGGTGGCTCTCTGCAGGGGCTGGGCCCTCGTCCATGATCTGGGCGGGACTTGGTTTTGCGGGGCGCTGGGGCCACGTGCTCTGTCTGCACTTAGGGTGGCTGGGGGACAACTGTCCCTGGTTCTCCTGCAGTCTCGCGCTAGGGCGGGGCGTGGCTGTCCCCGGGGCATGTGGTCTTGTGTCTTTTTGTATGAGTTAATGAAAACTCCCCTTGTTAAAGCAAAATGAATTTTTTTTATTTATGGCTTGATCAATAATGTTTTTGGAACAACATGCAAAAAAAAAGGTCCTAAATCCAAAAAAAAAAAAAAAAATGCCGGTTCAAATCTTTTTTCACAGTAGCGACTTCAAAATCGTATCATACAAGTGGTTCAACATTGTTACCAAACACATTCTGCAAGTTTTGTAATGATTAGACAACAATTTTCTGATCAATATCTTAATTTGCATAATTTCACATCCAGTTATTATGCATTTAAAGCTCCCCCTCGTGGTCGATTTGAATGATACTTGCAGTGTATATGTTAGGTCCTTATCTAGACATATCCTGGAAGTTTTCTGTTGATTGAGCAAACATTTTGTAATTTGTAGCCTGATTTGCGTTATATCACCTGCAGATTGTTTGCATTTATAGCGCCCCCTGGAGTTCAATTTGAATGAAACTTTCAGGGCATGTTTTAGGTAGTTATGAAGACATCCTGAGAGATTTGTGATGTTTAGAGAATGAATATGTGATTTATAGTGTAATTTATGTAATACTAAGCACCTTTCTTGCGCTTGTAGCGCCCCCTAGTGGCGGATGTACATCAAACTGTTCTGGTATATCTGGGGCACGTATCTGAACATATCCTGTGAGTTTTGTGATGATCGGTCCTACAGTTGCTGATTTGTGTCCCTAGCCCTAGCCTGGAAACGGATTCACTATAGCAAGAGTTTTAGCCCTTTTGCCATAACACTACTCAACAACAGTACTTGCTAAGTAAAAGGTCTTGGTTTTGGTGTCAATTTGTGTAAAAAATGTACAGCACGTTGTTATGTATGTTCATGTTGTGTAAATGTGAGGTAATATACTTGTAGATGGTGGAAACAAATTTCCTGGAAAGGACAATAAAGAATCTGTTGTGTGTAGTGGTGTGAAGAAGGTTGGCTGGACCCAAATGCACACGCGGGAACAGGCAGGTATAGTTCAAAGGGTTTATTAACCAACAAAAGGTGAGCACACTTGCTGGCAGGCTGATAACAGAGTCCAAAAACAAGGTAATCCAAAGAAAGTAGGGAAACAGGACGAGCAAGGCAGACAACATGAGACAGCACATATACATGCAACAATCACCACATGAGGACTGAACAGAAACACCAAACATTTATACTAGGGGTTAACGAGCAGGGCGGGAGCAACACAGGTGAAAGACATGAGACTAATGAGGCACAGGCAGGGAGAGAGAGCAGGGAAAAACAGAGACAGAGATGCCGAGGGATAACTGGGGTAACATACATGACAAGGATTACCAAACACTAGACGACACCTGTTCGACACCTATACCTGGTGTTTCTGTCTTGTCTTGGTCGGGTCATTGTATGTTGTCACCCAGTGTTGCAGTTTGTTCTCGTGTCTTCAGCCTTACTCGCCGTGTCTCCCTGTTACCCTGCTCAGTTTTGGATTCTGGTTTTCACCCTTTTGGATTTCTGTTGAACAGCCTTTGTTTTGGGACTCTGTCATCAGCCACTCAGTTTGTAAGTGTGCTCGCCTTTTGTTTGTTAATTAAACCACTGAACCATACCTGCTCCGCTCTGTGTCCTGCTTTTGGGTCCTCCAACCTCCTCCAACCTGCCTCACCCATACCAGACCGTGACAGTTTTGATGTTCCGGACCTTTGCTTTGGGAAATTTTCTCTAACTGGACCTTAAATTACAATTGAATACCCCTGGTCTAGGAGGAGGTGTCAAAAATGTTGACACCTGATTGTTTTTCAAAAAATTCAAAATGGCAGAAGATTTTTATAGGCGGACCTTAATGGTTGACCTTGAGGCTTTTTTGTAGAGCACATTGAGCTGGACCTGTGTGAGAAATTTCAAGTCAATCGGCACGAGGGGCCAATTGGGTATTGGCATATGCACACCATTTCCAGTTATTCCCCAAGTTTCATGTTTCTAGATCATTCCAGCTCACAGGAATGATCGTAGTATCGTAGTTAGAACTGTTGCCTCACAGCAAGAAAGTCGCGGGTTGAAACCCCGGTTGCCCCGGCCTTTCTGTGTGGAGTTTGCATGTTCTCCCCGTGTCCCTGTGGGTTCTCTCCGGGTGCTCCGGCTTCCTCCCACCGTCCAAAGACATGCAGGTTGGGTTGACTGATGTCTCTAAATCGGCCTTAGTTGTGAGCCTGAGTGGTTGTTTGTCTCTGTGTGGCCCTGCGATGGACTGGCGACCTGTCCAGGGTGTACCCCGCCTTTCGCCCGATGTCAGCTGGGATTGGCTCCAGCCCCCCGCGACCCTGTACGCAGGATAAGCGGTTGACGATGGATGGATGGATGGATGGATGTTCTAATACTATTGACATAGAAATATATCGTTGTGTATTCCTTGTTGACACACATATACAGAGGTTAGAGAAGCGAGCTTTTGGTGTGCTTCCAGCTTCCAGGTGTGAATGTGTAACAGTGTGAATGTGATCAGGCCCTTCCTGCAAATGAGAGGTTGCTCTCAGTGAAGTTCTCTGAATCTCCCCCATTAATTCATGTCTGAATAAATAAAGGTAAAAAAAACAACAGTTGCTTCTGTATCGATACATCAGCAAATGCTGTGAGAGAGAGAGAGAGAGAGAGAGAGAGGGGGCAGGAGAGGAACAGAGAGAAAAAGAGAGG